AATGTCCGAGGACCTGCAGATTACCAGATCCCAGTGAAAAGGCAGGCAGTAGCATATGTTGCGATACAGCATGTTGTGCAAGAGTTTCGCTTGTTGAACTGAGGAAAGAACTATTTAAGAGTTAATCCTGTTCTTCTCCATTTCACCCATCAGCATGCTCTTCTGTCCCATGTAAAGTTTCAAACTCTGCCCTCTTATTTTTTGGCTTTGTGCGTGTGTGTGCACGTGTGCTTTGATGTGGTTTTCTCACATGCATCCAGAGGAGCTGATTTTACGTAAGAGCTGCAGAGAACAGATCCCACGTGCCCTCACAGGAAGTTTCTTTTGCGAGCAGAGAAAGAACAGTCCTTTTAGCAGGCCACCTGTTCCCCTGGTTTCTCTAGTCTAGCTAGCTTTAGAAGAAAAACAATTGGCAAATTCCTTGCCACTCATGCATTGTATCCTATGAAGCTGCATATCAAGTAGCACTTTTTTTTTGGTCCAGGTTCATTTTGCTGAAGCTATCGTATACTTTAAGGTCAGTTTTGGTTCACACTTAAGTTATTAGTTGTTCATCCAGTTCGCTGTGTTGGGTAGAAATGCTTCTGTAGCTCAGCAGTTTGAGGTTAGTGGTAATAGCAAGCAGCTTAGTTGTAAGAGACAGGGCAGGATTAACAAACAGCAGTGAATGTCCCTGCCGCAAGTGAAGGGCCAGGCTGCCTCCTCTGGGAGGGTTTGCTCTGTATTTTGGCTGCTTGACAGCAGTCTGACACAGCCAAGCAGAAGGAGCTCTTTCCCAAGCTGGGACATGTCCTTATGTAAGTGTTTATAATAAATGCCGACAGAAAAAAAACAGAGGGAGGAGTGTTACATAAGGGGCAAAACACAGCGCTGCTTGTCGAGGAATCTGATGTGAGGTGTCACTTCAGAGAACGCTGTCTCGTATGCTGGCAGGAATGCAGCCACTGCTGCACGCTTGTAGGCAGCTTTGAGAAGCAGCCAAACTGCTCATGTGCTGACAGGAAACCCCAGCAGCTCTGCCTGGTTGGGATCACAAGCTCCAGGAGAAGCGAGCAGTTCTGTCCCATCGCACTCCTGTCTTTGGTGGGAAGAAGCAATAGACCAGTGTTGGGCTTTGTCCAAATGCAGCTTTGCTTCCTCAATCCCAGAGAGCTCAGAGCAGCGCTGCAGTGCGGGTTTACTGTCTCTCTTCTTGCCTTGCTCTAAAAATTGCATGTGCAAGCTGGCAGGTTTGGGTAGGTGTGGTGAGAAACCTTTAATGGGTTTAGTAGCTTCTGATATACATAGCTTTTCTGGAGACAACGTGCTATTAATGCCATCCATTTTTAAAGCAAGACAGTCTTCCTCAGTACAAATTACAGAGGTTTTGCCTCCCTTAGCAACAGGCTGAAGACTGAGGCAAGTTTGAGGAACTGATTGTGGTACTAAGCTGAGAGTTGCAGTGGCAGAAGGCAGGGCCAGCTCTGAAGTAAGCTTTACTACTTTCAGGAATGGCTTCGTTTTGTTACACACATTCGTTTGCTGCAGCAAAATGCAGAATCTGTCACCACTTCTGATACCTGTTTCTATCAGATGAAGCAGGTTATAGAAGCTCTGTTCCACAGCAGTGGGCTCTCTGCTGTCTCACTGCTCCTCTGGGCCTGCACTGGGCAGTTCTGTAGGACTATAAGGTATAAGGAAACACTTGTCAGACCCATAGTTTGAAGAACCCTGGCTTTACCATCATGATTTAGCAGTCACAATGTCAGTGAATATGACAGTTTGAGGGAGGAACAAACTTCACCTGGCTGCTCGTTGAATGGGGTCAGATGGGGTCCTCTGCTTACAGTAGGGAATGTTTCTGGCCCTTTGTGTGTAGCTGAAAATGTTTCCTACAGAGTTCCTTGTTTTCTGTTGTATTATGTTTACTGAGACTGCCTCCAAGCAGTGGCACCCATGTACATCTGTTTTGTTTTGTTTTGTTTTGAATCTAGGGGGAAAGACCTGAAGGAAAAGCATGAACAGAAAGTATATGAGCGTGAAATGCAGCGTATCACACTGCCATTGTCTGCATTCAGCAATCCTGCCTGCGAGCTTGTAGATGAGAGCACAATCGTGGTGCACACTAACCAGACACCTGTGGAGGACACGCAGGATGGTGGTGGCCCACTCATGGGGCAGGCGGGTACTCCTGGTGCCTGAGCAGCTCGGGCAGGAGCAATACAGGCTGAGCAAAGCCTCCAGCTTCCCACTGTGAGTGCGGGGGGTGCGTGTGTTCATTTCTATTTTGTTTTCTTTTTGATGAAAGCCAGATGAAGGTGATGCAGAGGGAGAGAACAATGGGCTATTCATCACGATCTGTTTGAGGGGCACCATTCAGTGCATGACCAGCTGGGGACTGGTGCGGTGGACCCTGCTGCTTCCTCCCACCTATCTCCATGGAGTGCCAGGGAGCTGGGGGGGATGATGGGCCAGGCTCTCATGTGGTCGCAGATCCCACAGCCTGGAGCGTGGTCTTGGCTTTTTCTGTTCCTTTCCTATTTAACGGTGTGCACTGTTACTTAAGTTTCAGCCTGGAACCCCAGGAGGGAGCAGTACTACAGGGACTGAGGGGAGCTTCGTGTCAGGCTTAGCTTGGTAATTACACTGATTATAGTTCCTGCCTTTTTGCTTTAGTGGCTGAGAGCTGGAGACGCTGTCCAGAATCCTGCTACTGGATCGGTTTCTTTTTCCAAGAAACAGTTTATTTGGGGGTTGACTTTGGCCAGGAGCTGTATGTTTAGCCTAGTTTCAGTTTGGAAAAGCTCTTCTCAAGCTATTGATAAATCCAGGTCTTCCAGGGCTGAGGCCAGACCTCCATTCCCCTGTGGTGCTACATGAACAGCCACAGTTGCAGGTATCCAGGTGGTCTGTGCCTCCTGCTCACTTAGAGCAGGAGACCAAAGGCCAGCAGTAGACAGTTGTGAAGAAAGCAAACTGCCCTTCAGTTACCTACAGCAGGTAGAGCACTGTGGATAAATAACAGCCTCTTCCGAATTCCCTTGGCTTTCCACAGAGCCAGCTCTGGACAGAGTGGCCAAGCAGCTATGGAGGTCACTCTGACCATGACACAGCAGCTCTTGCTCTAAGGGCAGGATACAGCAGCTGCTCTTGCAAGATCCTGAAGTTAGAGCATGGCTCCTGGCTCAGCCTCCTTCACACGCACTCAGCTTGTGCAGCGAGATCACTTGCTTACAGAGCCTGGCATTTTGTAACAACTTTTATTAGCATTTCAGGGGGTTTGGAAGGGATGGTTGCTGCAGTCTCCCAAAAGGCACCAAGGCAAGGCCAGTTCAGGGAAACACCCATCCCCACCTCAGGGGATTCAAGCCATTCAAGTAAGTTTTCTAGCCATCTGCTTTATCGCTGTGGGCCTAACAGGGAGCAGCACTTGTCAGCAGGGGTTTTAGCGTTTGATTCAGAAAAGGGAAACGTTTTATTTTTAAATGCCTTTGAATACCATTTCTTTGTAAAATGTTTTAAATACCTCATTATGAGAAGGTGCAGATTGTGCTACCTTGGATTAAAGCTTAAAAGAAAACTGCAATGTAGTGGACCTGTGTGGACTGTGGCTCATCCGTACATTCCTCCTGCCAGAGCAGCATCCTTTTGCTTATTGCAGACTTTGAATTGAGAAGAAGGTAAGATGTCATGTCAGTTTGCCAGGCCCCAGGTAAATCCCTACAAGCAGGGCCTCCACTCACCAGCACTGACAAGAGGCATGGAGCTTATGTCCTTGCTGCCAGCAGCTGGTCTTGGGCTGGGACGCTGTTCCTGAAGAGCAGCTGTGGGTCTGTGAGCTGTGCTGACTAAATGGGCTGGCCCGTGGGAAGATGCTCTCAGTTACAGCCCCGTCCTGCCCTGACACAGGTCAGTTCTGCTCTGGTGCTGCTCAGCAGCAGCTCCATTCCCCAGGGCCTTGCAGTGGAAAGCATGACAGGGACAGAGCACAGCAGGTTGCAGGAGGCACTGACATAGCTAGCATTCTCGTTCAGTTGTTGCCTTCACAAATGCCCCTTGAACTACGTATTTCAGAATAAGATGTTTCCAAGAACAGGCTGTATTTTTATCCCTGGATCAGAAAAGGAAAATAGAGGCTTCATTTTCTGCTGACTCCTGTCCACTCTTAAAAAAACCTTGGCAAGTTCTTCCATCATTCCAGGTAAATAGTACTGTAGAGTACTTGCACTGCATCTCTAGAATTCTGTAGATGTGGCAGAGCCCTTGGGCTCAGGGAAGGGTGTTCTAGATGATACCAGATCTCTGCAGTTTTGCTGTTCCCATTTTGTGACAATAGAAACCCAAGCAAGCTACAGCTTCGTGCTCGATGTAACAGAGGCAACCAGATGTTGTTTTTGTAGCATGTTTAATGCTTTTTAATTTAGTTAGAACATGGAGCTGTGCAAATCACAGTTCATAACCCCCACCCACACATCACCCAGGACTCTCCCCTTCAGGGGTCCCCTCACAAACCAACCTGGAAGGGGAAAAGAAAGGGCAAATCCTATTAACAATCCTGAGTCCACTGGACCCAGTTTAGAGAGGCTCCTCCACCGACTCACAGCACAGGGAGTCCCCCAGTGTTTCTAAAACACCACTACACAGACTAAAATCACACCCCCACACTCACACCTTTTGTCAGGTGATGGCTGGTCCCATGTTATGTTATATAATACTTTAAACTCATGGGTAGGGGAGGAAATCAAAGTAACAGCAAAGACTAACACCCATTCCCCACCATTCAATACTGAAAGGAGTGGGGAGAGAAAAGATCACACTAAAAATCCAGTTAAACCAAGGTGTCTGTGAAAGTTGAGAGCAGGACTTGAGCCACATTTTGTTCTGTTCTGCCAACCATGTAAGCTACTGCAGCAGTAGCTTTCTTCTTTCTCCCTCCAAGGGAGGAAGTAGAGAAGTGCTGGAAGAGAACATCCCCCCAAACACACCCTTCCCAATGACTCCAAGCCCTTTTTTCTCCCCCAAAGCAGGGAATGACCCTGAGGAAAGTTTCTGCTTGGAGAATCAGCTCAGGTGCTGCAGCAGCAGAGGCAAGAAGGACCTTCAAAGGGAGCAACTGCAGGAAAGGATGAGGTAATGGCAACTGAATTATTAGTTCTCCAGCTGCCACTCCTGGGAGAAGGGGACATTCTCCAGCACTTTTCTGTTCATGACAAGTCCATCCTTTAAGTAACTCTGGGGTTATCCCCCTTTGTCATTGTCCATGCACAAAGTCTGAGCCACTTCAAACCCTTGGTATGCTGAAGAGAACCTTCTGCCACCCTTTCTGTCACCTCATGTCCACAGGCCGAGAGCTCAGGCAGCTTCAGCACTCCAGGGATGTCCACAGTCAGTGCTTAGCACAGTTTTACACATTCGGGTTCAAATACTTTCACCTAGGTTAAGGTTCTTGGGCAGGCAGACTCACGGTGCAGGCTCAGGGTCTGAAGATGCTCAAGCAGCTCACCTGCCTTGATCACCATTAGGAGGGGCAAGCAGAGCTCAGTCTTAGTGTTTCTAGGCAGGCTTTTGGAGGTATTCAGAGACAGAGGCAGGAAAAAAACCCACAAAACCAAACTAAAACAAGAATTCATACACGCTTCCCCACAGACAAGGTATTTCAGGAGAGCTGCCCAATTCCTGGGGCTTTTCAATTCCTCCCCTGTGATGCACCTGGAGGCCAAAATCTCAGTGGGTTATTCTGGAAAGCACATGCACAAACACACACACACACACACACACACACACACACACACACACTGTCCTGGTGGGGCCTTTTGCTGGACGTCCAATTTCCCCTGCTTTCTGTGCAGGGTAGTCAGTGGGAGAAGCAGTTCCAGAAGTGCTGGTCCTTACCCAGGAGAGTCTCCTATAGCAAATCCCTCCCTGGCAGACAGGCCAGGGTGGCTTCACAGCTTGCAGCCAAGTTCTAAGGCACCACAGTTAAGAAGCCTGGAAAGGCCAGAGAAACACTTCTCAAGCCATAAAAGTAGTGTTGAGCAGCTTTCCTAGGTGCAGTTGGCAGGAAACAGCCCATTTTGCTTCTGAAACATGCCAAAAATCCACAGTGAATCATATGTCCAAGAGGAGGGGTGTTGGGTGGGGAGAGAGAGGCAATGCAGCAAATGCACAGCGTGGTGCTCCATTAATGCCCTGGAAGTGGCTGAAGTGCATCTCCCTCCCTGTCACTCAGCTCCAATGAAGCGGGGCAGGCAGCAGGATGAGCTGACTAGGTTGTGTTGTCAGGTAGCTTGTCACGGTTCAGTCCATACTGCACACTCACGTTGTGGTCCAGCTCCTCCAGCTCAGATGGAAGGGGGATGGCAAGTTCTCCCAGGTAGAGGGAGAGAGCTTCAAATGAATCTTCCAGCTTGGAAAAAGGGGGCCTAGAAGCAGCAGTGAGGAAATGTGAGTGGGAAGGAGGAAGCACAGCAGCATCTGAAAAGGTTGAGGCACTTGTCCATCCAGCCACTGTCCCACGCACAGAGGTGTGAGCAGGGACGTGATCCCTCCCCATTCAGCTTCTGAGACTGCAAAGATCCCATCTGTCTGGCTACCTGTTTTTACAGCTGATGATCAGGGAAGTCTGGCTCTTTTGGAACCCACTTGGCATCAACACTGTTGTGAAGCATTCACCTTTCGGAGCTGGTGCCAAGGTCTGCCCCTACTTTTAGTACATGAGAAACCCTGATCAACCACTCCTCCTCTACCCTCTGTCTCAGGAACTGTTTCAGAAACCTCCACCATATACAGAAGTCTCTCCCAAGCTAATAAGTCTTTAGTCTCTCCTCACATGTAAGCCTTTGAGCATTCCCACAGGAGCCCTCTTCCACCCTCTGTGCAGAGTAGTCCTTCCACTAAGGGGATAAAGACACATCCTCCAAGCTTACAAAGAGCAGCCCTCCAAATCCCAGCCCTACCGGCTCTCTGGTTCCAGTCTGCAGCAAATAGCAGCCAGAGGGAAGAAGGCTGGAGGACAGTCAGCAGGAACAAACTTCTCCCAGAACAGCTTGACATTAAGGCCAAAATCCAGTGTGCGTGGGAGACAGTCCGGGTCGGCATAAACCTGGCCTATGATCTAGGGAAAAATGAGAGAAGAGCTTAAGTACAGCAACAGTTCCAGGGTGTTAACAAATAGAGAACATCAGCACCAGGCAGGGGCCCCATCAAAGTATCAGGGTGAAAGGGAAAGAGCAGAAACACTGTTCCTGCTTTCCAATGGGGCCAGTTGCACACTGTACTGCATACAGACAAACTGCATGTTAAGCTTTTATGAGACGTGGTGATGTGGCTGCTGTTGTGAAGGAAGGCCCAGATGCCTTCTCCATCTCCCCAGGGTCTTTGCTAGAAGATGCAGGGTGATGTGCACCTCCCAGAGAGCTCAACCCTGTCTTCCTGCTGGGGGTGATGCAGCCCCTCCTGATCACAGGTAACCAACACAACCTGCATCACCATCCCATCTCTCCCCTCACACAATCTTACCACACCACCAGCAAAACTCCTTTCTATGGAGCATGTCCTAAGTGATGCTGTGAAGTCAACAGTACCACATATTCTGACTTCCTCTGTTACTGGCAGATTCAGCTCCACAGCCAGATGGGAAGGGTGGAGAGAACCACCAGAACCAAAGCTCAGGAGGTTGCAGGCAGAGCTGCTGGAGGAAAGGGCTGGGTGGAAGAGAAGGAAGCCCTGCCCCAGCACTCAGACGCCCCAGTGCTCACCACCTCCAGCACTAGAGGACTCAAAGTGTAATAGGAGGGAAGGAACCCACAGCACAGAGCAGTCAAGGTCAGTGTCAATACAAATGCTCACATGGGGAAGAATTTTGGGTTTAAAGCCTCACTGGTATTACAAAGAGGGTGTTATTTATAACCACCCAGGCCCTTCTGTGCCAACAGCTCAGCAGGACAACCACATCCTGTAACTAGACAGTGGAACGCCCATTATGTATTTTGGCAGGATTATTTCCTTATCTGTTTGAGTGTGTAACATCTTTTTTTAGCATCTTTATCTTGGTGACAAGCAAAATGTTCCTGTGATCCTACCCCTATTTGTCTGCTTTCTTTGCTACTATGTCTTTTTTTCTAGATGAAACAATTGTTATAATTCCACAAACAAATTTTTCAAGTTCCTGAATTTATCACTCACAACCACAACATTCTCTGAGAGGAGAGCCCAGCATAAACAGAGCTCCAGATGAGGCCACAGAGACGTATGCACAGATATTTTATTTGTCCTCTTCATTCAGACACTGAAGATGAAACTGTGCTGGTCTTCCCTGGTGTCCCTGTAACTGCTGTGTTATCAGTACATGTAACACTCTGCCTTTCATCTCTATTTCAATCATCTTACCTTTTAAACTGAAAATACCTTGCAGCTTTTGACTTGTGCTCTTTGCTCTGGAGACAGAAAAGACTGCTATAATGGTAAGACTGTGCACTGGCTCAGAGATAAACTAAGCCAACAGACTTCAGGGTGCAAGCTTCATTAATCGACCTGCAAAGAGGTTTCTGTTCCCCATTCTTTGAAGTGAAGTGCCATCCTCAGTGGAGGCCCTGAATTTGCTGAGATACAGCTGACTGGTCTTTTAATGAGGCAGTAGAAGAGGCAAAAAGTATCACAGTTTTAGGGAATATATCTATTTTCAAATGGATACCAGGGCTCAGTCAGAACTTGATGGACTTCTTAACAGTTACTCTCAGTCCGGGAAGAAACAAAACAGTTATCTTCCCTGAGGAAGCAGAGCAGGGTGAGCCTGTAGTCCCAGCCTCAGTCTCTGTGCTGTTAGGTCAGAGATTGCAGACTCAGAGAAATAGCTGATAAAATGTGTGTGAGAAGATGGCCGTGGGGAAGAGGTCTATTAAAGATGCCATGTAATGTCCTGGCCTTACCTCACAGAGAACAATCCCAAATGAAAAGATGTCCACTGTCTCATCGTAGCTCTGTCCTGCAGGAAACATAAGACATTCAGATTTGGGAGAGACAGTTCCCCACCCAGCTATTTCAGCATCTGCCAGTCCAAAGCTACTTCGCCTATTCCCTGGAAGGCCCTAAAACAGGAGACAAAGCAGGGTTTAAATCTGAGCAGGGCCAGCTGCCCCAAGACATGTATACCGACTGCATCCTCCTATACACTGCCACTGCTTGTTTTAACTCCTTTCTTCTAGTGGGGAATTACAGGGACAACAGAGGGAAACCGTGTGTATCAGAGGTCTGAGCAAATCCTAATTTTAACTGTGGAAAGCTTCTGCCCATTCCCACTGATTGCTGTTCTAGTGCATCTCTACAGTACAGAGTCATTGTTCAGCTTCCCCAGCGGCCAGGGAATGCCCAGTCCCTGCTGCAGTGACCGCAGATATAATAAATGACACACTGGCAGCACTTTGAACCTGGGAGAGCAGGCTGGCTCCAGCAGGCCATTCTCTGCTTACAGACGCACCCCTCCCCAGCCAGTATCTGGTAAACAACCCTGCTTTCAGAGGTGATGTCAGACTATGCTCTTGCTGGTCTCTTTGACAAATGCCAGGTCTGAGACAGGCTCCGAGAAGGCCTGTAGGCCTTGAGAGAAGGAAAACAGAACAGCACACAAGAAAGCTGGGGAGAGGAGCCCAGTCCTCCCTTCCCTGGTGGAGACATCTGATGTCATAGCTAGCTAAACTGGCCAGACAGACCTGCTTATTAGGAGGAAATTGTCTCCACTGCATTTCACCCTTACCTTGACTCCTGCAGGGGCAGATTTTTCCCTAAGGGTTCATCCTTAATGCAATGGAAGGCTGTGTGCCAAAACCAGATTGCCCTTCACTTGGACCACTCCCACCCCAGTCCTGAGGCTTCGGCAAACCTGGCAGCAGATGGTTTCTCCCTGAATCTACATGACAGCACATGTATGTCTCATCCTGGAGTTTGATGATTCCCTGTCTCAAGGGACAGTTCCAAAGCATGAGGCTATAACAGAAATTGGTCTCAGGTTCAGTCTTATTTCAGGCCTCTTTTGTCTTGCCTGTTATCTAGATCGGAGCAGTTTAGGCCTGCTGCCCTCCTGAAGAATCCTCCTGTCAAGCCAGAAGCATTACCTCAGCTGGTACAAAGGCTTATCAGGTCAGGTACTGCAAAAGCAGTGCAGCTAGGGTACCTGTGTGTATAAATAAGCTCGTATATTAGCAGGTCTAAAACCATAGACCCTAATAGGTTTGGTTGTTACTAGGGCTCATAAGCTTTCAGTAATCTTATCATCCCTGTACCTTGTCACAGGCTGTCACCTCACCTGCACCCTGGTATTGGTATCTTACCATTGAGCATCTCTGGAGCCATCCAGTATGGGTTGCCAACCACTGTGTAGCGCTTCTTCCTGTCACTCTTGCGTAGGGTTCGTTTCTTGGCCGATGGCTTCTCCAAAGTGGGCTTTTTCCTTTCCTCCACAATCAGCCGAGACAGACCGAAGTCAGCCACCACCACGGTCTTATCCTGCACAAGGGATTTAGTACAAGCCACCGATTATGCTCAGCTACTCTGAGGAGCAAAGAGCCTGCAATTCCTGTTTGCTGTCAACTACACTGTAAGGGAAACTAACAAGATTTCCTGCAGCCAGATGAGCACAGCAAGCTGCCTAGATACCCAATTCACAATCCCAAAACATCGTTTCTTCTCATCATTGTCTTATTTTCTGTGTGGTCACTACACTAATGCCATCAATTTGGCTACTTTTGCCAGGGCAAAGCTGGACCTTTCTTTTCAGACCTTCCTAATCTACCTGGCCAGGAATTAGTTTAGACTTTCATCCTGGGTCATTTGAAGCCCACATGCCAATCCCATATTTCAGCCAGTGAACAAAGATAAGGCTTGAAGGAATGAAACTACACAAAAATCTTGTGGCCTCCTAACATATCAAAAAGAGAGAGCACACACCTGTGCACACACCTGCACACTTGTCTGAATCCTGAGTGCCAATAAAAAAGTCATCAAGTGGTTGAAAGAACAGAAGCAGCTGCAGAGAACATTTCATAGTTGAGATAAGAAACAGAGCTGAACTAACTCTCCTAACAACACTGTTAATAGGAGATGCTATGACAGGAAAGGGGATGAGAGAACAGAATGAAGAAACAGGGAAAGCTAGATTAGTCTGGGAAATCCTATGTGAAAATGAAGCTCCCTTGTTTAGGGCACTAAAAGCCTCTCTGAAATCAGTTCTCCTGAATCACCATCACCTTTCCTGACAAAAGAGGAAAAATCACATGGAGAAAACCAAGGGAGGAAAATGACAAGGAGGGGAGCAGCATGCTGTGGGGAACAGAGGTGTAGCTCACCAACTTGATTAGGCAATTGTGTGAATTCAGGTCTCTGTGAATGATGCACATGGAGTGCAAGTAAGCCTGAAACAGAGAAAGAAAACTTGGCATTAGGGATTTCCAGGCAAATGTGTCCCTTCACATTTAAAAGGCCTCAACAGTCAGATACTAGTAGCCAGACAGCATCCAAACCCCCTCATACATCACCCTACTGACGTACCTAACCCTGACCCTGGAAGGTCACTCTCTGATAAAGGGGCAGTCCAACTCACCATTCCAGAGGCAATTCCTTTGGCAAAGCTGACCTTCTGCTCCCAGGGAAACGGGTCCTGAAAGACAAATCCTCAACGGTCAGAGCCTGTCTTCCCAGCCAGTTAGTGACAGCAATTCTTCTGCAACAGAGACTCTTGCAGCAGTCACAGAAAGATGATACAGCCCCAGGAAGAAAGCGATTTCTGCCTCGGGCTACCCACAGGTGTGAAGAAGTTTTTCCACACAGCTCCATAGGAGAAGACTAACAAAGTACCATAAGGCTGGTACAACCAACACCACAGTCAGCCTCATTGAGCAGAGGTCTACCAGGCTTCCATACTCACCGCATTACGAAGGAAGTCTTTCAGGGTGCCTCCCTCGATGTACTCAGTGAGGAGATTCAGTTTCTTGTCCTTGTACAGTACACCAATGAACTTCAGCACATTGGGGTGATCCAGGCTGCGCATGACTTTCACCTGGGAAGCAGAGACATCCCACCCCAAAGAAGATAATGAAACAAGTCCTGGCAGATCTGCTCTGTGCTGACAATGCTAGAGGTCCCCCCTGGGGATCACAGAGTACACTCAAACCCTAACTTTAAGCAATCAACTAAATGTTGCCTCTTCATTTTCATGCTGTGCAATTAACGTGATCTTAGTCTGTAAGGAGAGCACTCTTGAGTTTGGCAAACTTTTAAGAGGCAGGAGCTCTCCAGGGCAGCTAACTGGTCTGTGCAGTATGTGTCAGGGCTGGAATAACAGCATTAGGTGTTTAGGGAGCTGCCTTTAAGCTAAATCTGACTTTAAAAAGCATGGTAGACAGTCAACAAGAAAATAGTTTATATACAGCAGGAGTCTTAAATATCTTACAGATACTGGCCCTCATCATTTGTATTTATGCACAAGGCTCAAAGATAAATCCTTTATGTAGTGCACAGCTCCACTTGCCTCAGGCTGCTTTTTATCACTGAAAAATTAATGAACTGGGAACTGAAGCCATGTCTAGTGTTCAGTGTGAGTCACACTTTGTTGCAGCAAACATTCAGCTCGTGTCAGCTTTTCCTTGTGTGCTGTCTCCCTCCTCAGTGCCTTGATTCCTGCCAGGATGCTGGCACGATCACTCTATGGGTAAGATGGAAGAGAGTTCCACACACTGCAATCTTACTCCTACCTCTGTCAAGAAAGTCTTCTGTGTTTCCTCATCACAGCGGATCAGCTCCTTCATCACCATCACCTTTCCTGTTGCTTTGTG